GCTATTAATTACACTTGATATCATTTAAATTTGATTTCCCTAGCAACAGCCGTAATTAAGTAAAACACAGTTTTTACTTAATTTCATTGTTCTGGCTTTTAATTGACTGGTGTAATTTTTCATTTTTTTTACACTTTGGGCTGCATTATTGCATGAAAGGTACTATACAAATAAAGTTAATATTATAATTGGTATACATCAATATCGTTATTGTCAGGATGTCAGATTTTCAAGTGAATTTTCATACATATTATATTCAATCAGAAGATAAAGTCATGACGTCTACATCTTATTTTGAGCGTGTGTTGTTTGTTTGTAAATCTAAATAAACACATATCAGGAGAAAAAAACACACAGAAGTATCTTCATATTTTCATTTTAATTTCTGATCTGTACAATTATCATAAAATTCCAAAAGCATGGATATTATATACAGGTGAGGATTGAGGCGACAGATCTTGGGTCCAAATACTGTAATAAGACAGATTCATTGCATATGTTAGAATACATATTTAATCATATAAAACACCACAAAATCCACAAATAAAAGTATAAACCGTGTCCAAAATATCCTGCATGATGATAAACAGTGTGCTCTCCCTTCAGGTGTACACACTCACAAAAAGAGTTTCCTGTTGGCCGATTAATGAATGAACTCTGTAGGATCTGGACTTTGATTTGCTGCCTCAGTGTCCTCAAACCCGATTGGCTGATGAGTCGGTGAAAGCACGAGAGGACAGAGCTGATTGGCTGCTCAGGTGCTCTTGTTGGTGAGGCACTGGTTGACCACCTCCAGCAGAGAGGAGTTCTCCAACGCTGCTGCCACTCTCTCTTTGTCCGCCAGCTGCTTGTTCACTGCAGGACATCAGGAAAAAGACACATCAGACAATAAAGTCATAAAACTGGAAATATTGTCTAATAACTCATTTTTTTATTTATTGTCTGGGATTATATTCACCTTATTATTTGATTGACCTATTAAACTGGATTTATTGAGCCAGGTAGCTAAAGTATGCCCTTGCTGTCCTTTAATATGCACTGGGTTTTGTGTTACTAATACTACCTTAAAGTCATTCATTCTCATTTTGAGCAAAGTACACATTCAGTATGGACAAACCAAGTCAATAAATAAAAAGTAAATGTTTTCACCCCAAAGCTTTTTCTGTTATTGCGTTTATAGATAAAGTGTATCCCTAATGTTTGCTGATATGATGTGATGCCGTGTTACAACCATCTCTGCTTTTGTTTGGTAACAAATTGAGTGAGAAACTTACTTCTTCCTTCTCTCTGTCTGTACCTGTGTACTCTCATGTTACGAATGACCCAGATTCCCCCAAATTTCTTTGTGGTGTCTATCTACGCCGGGATCCTGAGTCGTGGCTGATCCTGGGTCCTGAGTCCTGGATTTCGAGTCGTGGCTGAACCTGTCACTGTGTTCCTGGTCCTGATCTGAGTCTTGATCTGAGTCCTGGACTTCGAGTCGTGGCTGAACCAGTCTCTGCGGTCCTGCCTGACTCTCATCATACTACTTCCCTGATGGCTCCCACAGGATTGTTAACATCCTCGTGGATTCATCTTCTTATTATAGACACATGCATTTCCAAACATTTGGTCTACCTATGTTGTAAATGTATTATCTCTTCGATTTACACACGGCATCTATTGCACGTCTGTCCGTTCTGGGAGAGGGATCCCTCCTCTGTTCCTCTCCCTGAGGTTTCTCCCATGTTCCCCTTTAAACTGTGGGTTTTCTCCGGAAGTGTTTCCTTGTACGATGTGAGGGTCTAAGGACAGAGGGTGTCGTATTGTCATACTGATATTCTGTACAAACTGTGAAGACCACTGAGACAAATGTAACATTTGTGATATTGGGCTATATAAATAAACATTGATTGATTGAAACTACATTCCTTAACTGAGGAAAGTGGCTTTATTTAGTAAGAAAAGGCTAAAAAGCCAAGTCATATCCCATCATGCCTGCTGTCTCTGGGTAAAATGTACCTGCTTCCTCTGAGGCGTGCGTCCCGGGTGTAATGCTGACATCAATCTGAGAAGAAACATAAAAACACACAAGGTTTGGAATGGAAAATTAAAACAAAACAATAAAAACCCATATTGTATGACATGTTGTTTATGTAAGCTACGA